TTTTTTTTTATTGAGGAGGTCAAGTTTCACGAGTAAAGATCAATCATTCTAGTTGGGGCTAAAGAGTTCAGCTCTGGAAGAGGGAAGCCTGATCTCCACTAGCTTGACGACTTCTGTGCCAAAAGCTAGGCTAAAGGAAGTTTCATTTGTAGTTGTTCAAGTTGTCGTCCTATATGCCTAGAGCACGCTTGGGAGGTTATCCACCCACTGGCTCTTTGAAGCCTCAAGTCTTGTCTTTGAAGCTTTGACAATCATTTGTATAGTGACCTATTCTTGATCATTGGATTGGGGATAAGTTGGAGCTCTAAAGTAATTCTTTATACCAAGTTCTGAACAGAAATTTGTGAAGGTGGAGTTGTCAAACTGCTTGTCGTTATGAGACACAATGGCTCTAGGGATTCTAAACCTACACACAATAGATTTTCAAACAAAGTTCTTGACCTTGTTCTCTACAATAGTTGTTGTTGGAATAAAAAATGTGTCCAACATTTCTAAAATCTGTTTGCAGTTGATTTGTGCCCGGCTATACCATTTTCCGAGCTCTAGGTGAGGTTTCCGACAGTTGTGGTACATGAAAAGAAAGTCAAAGAACATAGGGGTGCTCCAGGGGTCGACCCTCTGATGCTCAAGTCAATATTTGAGAAATTAAGGTGCATCAATTAAACTGGGCTCAATGTGCTTCCATGAGTCTTGCCCCGTAGGTCCCTTTTTATAATATTTTGATAGGTGTTCCAGGAAGAGTGGACTCTAAGCTCTCCTAGTAGTTTGAATTTGCCTAATCTCTTTTCGATTGAGGAGTCTTGGCTTCTGTGGAATTTATCTTTTGTTAGAAAAGACAACTAGAGTCCTAACTATGCTAGAAGTTTGTTTGATCACGCGGATAAGGCTTGTTGAGGGTAGGATCTTATCTTTATCCCTTAGCTACCTTATTTTTGTCACAATATTTAAACGAATCCTGCCATTTGAATGAGTCTTTTGTAGATAAGGTTCCTATTTTAAAATTGGGGATAAGCTT